AGGGGAGAGAAAAGAGAAAGGAGGGGAGAGAAAGAGAAAGGAGGGGGGAGAGAAAGAGAAAGGAGAGGGGGGGTGAGAGAGAAATTAGGAGGGGGGGTGAGAAAGAGAAATTGGGAGGAGGAGAAGGAAATTGGAGCGGGAGGAGAGATTGACATTCATCACATACACACAATGCACCCCTTGCACAGAGAAAAACACACAATGCATTACACATACAGACACACAAGCAATGCAACCGTTACACACAATGCATCCCTTACACACACAGAAACACACAATGCATTCATTACACACACTCAATGCACCCCTTACACACGCACACACTGCATCCTGTACATTCACAGAAACACACCTTGCAGCCCTTACACATACAAACTCAGATTCACACAATGCATTCCCTACACACATATCAGGACATCCCCTACACACTCCACCCCCTGTGAACAAACTCATTGGTGGAACATGAAGGTGGACCCTGGGACCCAGACCTTGAGCTGTGTAAAGGACCCCCAAAAAATGGAGCTGCTTTCCGTTCTCCCAGAACATTGATTTTTGTGACCACAGTTACAAACCGCCTCCAGAGAGCCTGTTCTGCACCAGACCTGTGGAGCCAGACTGCAGCTAGAGCCCATCATCATCCTCATCTGGTTGTAAGTAGGCAATCTAGTATATTATTCGTGGCACTAAGCTCTAATTTACCTCACATTAAAGAAACACTATAGTCCCCAGAACCACTTCAGCTTAATGTAGTGGTTCTGGTGTCTATAGCCTGTCCATGCAGGCCTTTTAATGTAAACACGGCGGCACTGCAGCACTGGCGTTAGTTAACATGGCAAATCATATGGCTGGGGCATTGTGATGTCACATGGGGGCGGCAAACTTTACTTTTGCCTTGGGCGGCAAAAATCCTTGTACCGGCCCTGGCTGGAGGGGGCTGTGTGAGCTGTGGCCGCACAGTGTCCCATGGTAGTTAGGGTGCCAGTACAGCTCACACAAGCAAACAGCTGATAAACTGGCCGCACGGAGGAAATGTGTATGTGTGACTGTCTGCCTGTGACTGTATGTGACTGTCTGCCTGTAACTGGGTGTGTGACTGTCTGTAACTGAGTGTGTGACTGCCTGTAAATGTGTGTGTGGGGCTGCAGGGATTTTGTAGAAGGGGGCGGGGGTTTTGTATTGGGACAGGAGTCTTTACAAATTGTAAAAAAAAAAAAATGAGAACCTTTAAAAAATTTTTACAGGTTTTTATTTTTTATTTTTTTTGGGGGGGGGTGCCAAGCACAGGATCCGCCCCGGGTGCCAAATGCTCTAGGTACGCCCCTGTGTCTGAGCGCACATTATTAAGCAAATGGCGCTCAGACCACACGAATACAGTTTAATCGCCATGAAGCCAAAGTCTTTACACAGTCAGTTTCATGCGAATGGGCTCCATGGGATTCCTATCTGGGGCACAACACACTCAAGCAAAACTGTGTCCGATTTCAGTTCCATGAATTAAGCGTCGAACACCACTGTGCATTCGCCTGTTTAAAATGGGCGCAACCTCGTGTTCGTGATACGAATGGCGGCCACCCAGCATTCGTCAATTAAGCTGTGGTTAACCGCAGCTTCAGGGAGGTTAATTGCCGGCACACTCCAGCTCCCAGCTGGTCTATTCATTCGTACGGTTGTTCAGTAGATGGAATCTACCGAACACCCGGCAGAAAAGAACGAATAAGTATTTTCTGCAGGGAAAAAAGATGTCTTTTAACATGGGGCCATAGTCCAAAGGCAGCATGCGAGCAACCAGGCTTCTCCAGTGTACAGTGGCGAGGTTGGTTTCGCCACAACACCTATAACATTTGTAATGTGTATTTCGTAAAGCTGGGGTGTACTATTGTGTTCAGCTACATCTGCTGAGTATAACGATACCTCCATTGTATGCCTTTGGCATTATTCTGTGCATCTACAATGCCATATAAGAGACAAGGCTATTTCAGTTTCTATAATTAGAATTTTCATAGATGATTTGATGGGCCTATGTCTGATTTTGGAGTATTATAGCAGTTTGACTGTTTAAATAACCCCACAAAGGGCTTTCATTTGATAAAGCAGATACCCCAGGGTATTTTATATGGCGTATATTGTGCCCTAACTTGTCACCATTTTTTCACTAATTTATGCCAATGTTTGTGGTGAAAGGAAAAAAAATATTTCTTACACTTGATATGTGTCACTGTCATGATATCCCCAAAATTATGCTCAGTTACATCTTCTGAGTAAACCAATATGCCCAATGTATGACCTAGACACTATTTTGTGATGTTACAGTGCTGTAAACGAGACGTGACAAGTTCAGGTTTTTAAGTGTGAATTTTCATGGAGTTTTGATGCGTCCGTCTTCCACTTTGGAGCTCTTTAGCAGGCTATCTAGCCTAACACCGAATTCACCAATTCCCCTCTGACTTCCACCCACCCCAGCTAGCTAAATACATAATTTTAAAATATTTAAATGAATTAATAGAATAAATGTAACTGCTGCGGATTAAAAATAAAATAAAAATTAACCCTCAGGGGGTAAAAAATAAAAATCTGATGACCGTAAAATGTAGTCCCTGCTAATTGACCACTGTAGTCAGTGATCAATTGACATGAAAGGGGTTAATTATATTAAAGCAGGTGGAAGGGGATGAGATTTAACTTAAAAACTTTATTTATTTACAGGGAGAAGCAGATCATCACTGATCCGTCTCCATGCACTTCACACTGGCTGCGGAAGAGTCAGAGGCTGTCAGAGCGATCACAGCTGCAGGGACAGTGCAATCGGGGGCTCCCGGTCTGCCTCGAGTACCGAGGCAGACCGGAGGAACGTTAACCCCGCGATGCAGGGTTAACTTCAGTAAATGACAGAACTTTTACATCAAGGGTCCTTTACGCAAGGACAAGCTTGATGGGAAATTTCTGTCTGTGGTCGGGAAGCGGTTAAAATGCTTTCTGTTTGAAAGAGTGCACTATGACATATAGAAATATGGAGAGAAACCTTATAGAAATTACCCGTTTAGTACTGTGACACCTGAAACTACCATGTCGATTTCCTTTTTACCATTAATATAATAAAATTTAATAATTTGTGTCCTAGCAACACCTGCAATAAGTCCATTGGAGAAACGCATTGAGGAGTTGAGCCACCAATTTGTGATCGAGCGTGCCGTGGCTGAAGGAGCCAAACACGCCATCCAGAAATTGGATGGAAAGCCGCTTGTTGAGGTAAGTTACAAAGTGTATTCTCTTAACCATTTCATCCCCAGAATGAATAATGGGCTTCCAATGTCTGTCAAGGGGCTGGAAATTACAATTTATTGGCATTAGCCAAGTAGCCATGGTATATTATTATGACTTATAAAGCGCCAACAAAATCTGCTTTATGAATAATTTATAAATGTTAAATTTATATTCTCTCTTCTGAGACTTTAATTGTTTGAAGTCTTTATTGGTACATTTGTTCTGTATTTTATGCTGTCTCTATGATTTATTTAAAATTCTCCCAATTGTTTAATTCCCATTAGTTTTATTAAAAGCCAATAGCATAATATAAATCTATGGAAATCCGTGCTAACTAGGTTTTTCTTTTCCATTCAGCATTTAAGTTAAATACAGTTTTTTTTTCAATAAACTGACTTGTAGGAAATTAAAATCTGAATTACAAAACTGAGGCAAACGTAGATAAGAAAATACAGACAAACCAGTAGAGTATACACACTATACAAAATTATGTTAAAATCATATATTAGGAAAAGATCCCAGGTGTACCTCACTAACACCTAAAACACATATAATTGAAAAACAAAGTGGAAACACCTCCCAAATACGTGATAATATAAGAAAAAATAAAAATAACCTGAAATATAGGTCGTGATTCATAAACGGAATCTGTACAAAAGATTAAAAGACTAACATAGCGTAATACAGTATTAAATAGGTGAGTGATATTTAGTGGAAATAAGTGCACTCACAAACAAATATGAAATCAGGCTTCTCACCCTCCCAAGGGTAGCAATCTTATGAGTGGACGATCCTCCGTAGGATATATGAAAAGTAAAAAAACAAATATAGTGAAGCATGTAATTAAATTACAAAATAGTATTTATTGGTCTCACTTACAAGTGAAGAAAAATAGCAGGCATATCTCCATATAACATGGAACTCCCAGAACGATGCAGAAGAGAGTCCAATAGAAGATCCAATGAAGCAGACAGAATACAAATAAAATAAAATAAAAATAAAAACTTAATACAGAATTACATAAAAAAGGATAAAATATAATAGCAGCATGCATAATCTTAAAGTATCTATCCAACGCGTTTCGTCCAACAGAAAGGGGACTTCCTCAGGGATATAGATGTGGTGATCCTTCTAGATATATATAGGGCGATATCCATAATCATCCTAAATTCAAAAAACCCGGGTATCCGGCGTCCGGTGGTGGCGTGCGTTTCATCCGTGGCACGCATAAAACAGGATATAGTGCTTATGTTCCGGTTGTACTGTCATTTCCGGCAGCGTGGAACGCATATGCGTAGTTCGTGCGCGTGCGCATAATAGACGCGCATGTGTGTCATAAACGCACATGGACAGATGTTATTACCGGAACCTACAGGGGACAAAAAAGTAGAAGAAACGGGCGGATAATCCGCCCAAGAGACTAAGAACCAGGATGAAACAAAGAATAAAGAATAAAAAATTTAATAAAAAAGCAAATACACATATAATAAACATATATATAATGCCCAGTGCATTATACTTAATATACTACACATATAAACACACCCAATTGATTACAATTACTAGACCAGAAACATTTACCTAGACACAAAATATTGCAAACCCTAAATATTATGAAATGAGAGGAAATTCATATTTCTCTGCTTAAATGCATATGGATTAAGTTAGTCTAATTCAAATTAAACCTTGTAAATCAATTTCCTGATTTAGTCTTTGATGTAAAGTTTTCAGATTAAAAATCCAAAACGCCTCTTTTTTAATTAACTCTTGTAATTTGTCTCCTCCCCTCCAACCTACAGTACATCATCTATGTAGCGTCGCCATAGGACCAAAGTACCCCCAGTATGCTCGCCCAATCTGACGTGCTGTTGCTCCCAATGGGATACGTACAGGTTGGTGAAACTGGGGGCAAATTTGGTACCCATGGCGACGCCACAGCTGTAAATAATACTGGTTGTTAAACCAGAAGAAGTTCTTTGTTAGAACGAACTGAATACAATTGATCAAAAATTCGATTTGGGTATCATGTAAAGATTGCTGGGATTTAAGCATTTCCTTAATGCACATAATGCCTTTCATATGAGGAACGTTAGAATAAAGAGCAGTTATATCATGGGTACCAAATTTGCCCCCAGTTTCGCCAACCTGTACGTATCCCATTGGGAGCAACAGCACGTCAGATTGGGCAAGCATACTGGGGGTACTTTGGTCCTATGGCGACGCTACATAGATGATGTACTGATCATCTGGGATGGCACTATGGAGAGTTTCAACTCTTTCATGTAGTATGTCAATGATAATGATTACAACTTGCTGTTTACTTTCACATCAAGCATCATTTCTGTTAATTTCTTGGACTTAACAATATATAGAGAATCCAATCAATTAAAGACCAAAACATACTTTAAACCCACAGATTGCAATACAGCTATTGAATGTTCTAGTGCTCACCATCCCCCATGGCTTTCAAATATTCCAAAAAGCCAGCTAACCCGTCTCAGGAGAAATTGTTCCGATAGGGATGTTTTTTTGGAACAATCGGCAATTATAAAACAAAGATATATAGATAAGGGTTATAATCTTAATAAAATTGAAAAAGCGGAAATAGAGATTCTTTCTTCTGATAGAACCCTTTTACTTGGTGATAGAGAACAAAGAGAAGGGAACAATGAATTAGTTTGATTCAATAGAAAAGATAAAAAAAGTAAAAATAATAGACACAATTCTAATAATAAATTTGAATTTGCTTTTTTGACTCAATATAATTCTCAGGCAAAAAAGATAGAACAGATACTTAAGAAACATTGGCACATCCTGAAGAGGGATGATGTCTTAAAACATATGTTACCTGAATTCCCTATAGTAATTTACAAAAAATCAGCAAATTTAAAAAATAAATTGGCACCTAGTTTGTTACTGTCTACTCCTTCTTGTAACAATGTATTAAAAACTCCTATATTAGGTTTCTTCAGCTGTGGACGTTGTTCCACTTGTAAATATCAAAAAAAGAAAATTGTGAATTTTACAAGTACATACACTAATAAAACCTATAATATTAAGAAACATATTCACTGTTCTTCTTCCTTTGTGGTGTATTTACTACAATGCGGTTGTGGGGCTCAGTACGTGGGCCGTACTTCTAGAAAACTACATATCAGAATTTTGGAACATTTCAATAACATAAAGAAAAAGAAATCTAACCATAGTGTACCTAGACATTGCAACACATGTCCGTTGTTTATATGGAACACTTTTCAGGCATTTGGTATAGACTCCATCCATCTAGGTTGGAGGGGAGGAGACAAATTACAAGAGTTAATTAAAAAAGAGGCGTTTTGGATTTTTAATCTGAAAACTTTACATCAAGGACTCAATCAGGAAATTGATTTACAAGGTTTAATTTGAATTAGACTAACTTAATCCATATGCATTTAAGCAGAGAAATATGAATTTCCTCTCATTTCATAATATTTGGGGTTTGCAATATTTTGTGTCTAGGTAAATGTTTCTGGTCTAGTAATTGTAATCAATTGTGTGTGTTTATATGTGTTGTGGCGAAACCGGCCTCGCCACGTGTCCTTGGAGGGGGCTGCTTGCCCGCCTCTTGCCTTTGGACTATGGACCAGACCTTATGTGAATGTGTTATACCCCAGATAGGAATCCCATGGAGCCCATTCGTATGAAACTGACTGTAAAGACTTTGGCTCCATGGCGATTAAACTGTATTTGTGTGGTCCGAGCGCCATTCACTTAATAATGTGCGCTCAGACCTGAGCTATCTGGGGATATGTGAAATGTCTGTGTGTTATGTGTAAAATGTGACTTTATGTATTTTAAAGTGTTTTGTGTCTTTTTGCAACCATGTGCTTAATGGAGTCTTGTGTCTGTCCTGGGAGATAATTGAATTACTTATCTCCAGGATAGAAGACTCTGAAACTGGTTTGGGCCAGAAAGCCATGCTTCATTTAGTCACAAAGGACTTTTTACTAACTTTTGAACCCCTTGTCTGATTTGTGCCATTTTTTGAATATGTTGTTCCCCTGAATGGATTGATTGTGAATATGTAATTTTATGTGAATGTGATGTATGGTTTTGGAGTTATGAAAGTTGGGTAGAAAGTATGTTTTAACTGTATGTATAATTGAGTTTCCTCTCAGGATAAGGGGAGGGAATATGTGGGATGTAACTGTGATGTGATTGGTGGTTTTGTAACGCCCTGTGGGCTGTACTATGTTTGTGGATTGGGAATAAAAGAGACTGTATGTGACAGTACAGGGAGTTCCTGTTTTAACCCTCAAAGTGAAGTGTCGTCTCATTATTGGGGGAAGGATTTATTGTATGCTGTTCCAGTTTGACTGCTAGGAGAGTAAACCTATTCGTATGGTTCCTATTCAACTGTCTACAGCATTCAAATGCTTGAGAGAAGGTATACGCTTCTCTGGTTCGGTGATTGTGGTGTCTGCTGCAGTGCTTGGAGTCCTCAGGAAGCGCTAGGAGCATCCTTTAACGGAGGTACCCAGTCGGGGTGCCAGGTGATCCGTTACATGTGTTTATATGTGTAGTATATTAAGTATAATGCACTGGGCAATATATATATATTTATTATATATGTATTTGCTTTTTTATTCAATTTTTTATTCTTTGTCTATTTTTTATTTTTTGTTTCATCCTGGTTCTTAGTCTCTTGGGTGGATTATCCGCCCGTTTTATTCTACTTTTTTGTCCCCTGTAGGTTCCGGTAATAACATCTGCGCATGTGCGTTTATGACACACATGCGCGTCTATTATGCGCACGCGCACAAACTACGCATATGCGTTCCACGTTGCCGGAAATGACAGTACAACCGGAACATAAGCACTATTTCCTGTTTCATGCGTGCCACGGATGAAACGCACGCCACAGCCGGACGCCGGATACCCGGGTTTTTTGAATTTAGGATGATTATGGATATCGCCCTATATATATCTAGAAGGATCACCACATCTATATCCCTGAGGAAGTCCCCTTTCTGTTGGACGAAACGCGTTGGATAGATACTTTAAGTTTATGCATGCTGCTATTATATTTTATCCTTTTTTATGTAATTCTGTATTAAGTTTTTATTTTTATTTTATTTGTATTCTGTCTGCTTCATTGGATCTTCTATTGGACTCTCTTCTGCATCGTTCTGGGAGTTCCATGTTATATGGAGATATGCCTGCTATTTTTCTTCACTTGTAAGTGAGACCAATAAATACTATTTTGTAATTTAATTACATGCTTCACTATATTTGGTTTTTTACTTTTCATATATCCCACGGAGGATCGTCCACTCATAAGATTGCTACCCTTGGGTGGGTGAGAAGCCTGATTTCATATTTGTTTGTGAGTGCACTTATTTCCACTAAATATCACTCACCTATTTAATACTGTATTACGCTATGTTAGTCTTTTAATCTTTTGTACAGATTCCGTTTATGAATCACGACCTATATTTCAGGTTATTTGTATTTTTTCTTATATTATCACGTATTTGGGTGGTGTTTCCACTTTGTTTTTCAAACGTAGATAAGCTCTGACAAAAGCCGAGATGGAATTTCTCACGATCACTATTTTTAGTTTAAATATTTGCAGTTCAGATTTTGATTTGCTACAATCCAGACTTTAGTGATTAATCCTGAGTTTTATACATTGAACATGATGTGGAATTAGAACACCATTTATAAATGCAATGAAAGTATGAGCCACACTCGTAGGACTTATGTGTCTAACCTTGAACATCAGCTCATGTTGGGCAGCAACTTCCAGATATTTTTGCCAGCAGATAATGTCTGTTGTTCTGTTGATCCTTCATCTTTTTTTCCCACTTTTTTAACAGGCACAATCAATACTACAGGCATCAAATGAAAAGCTGGACCTCCTTAAATATTCCTTGGAGGAACGAGTGAAAGAACTTCCTGATGGCCACCCTAGGAAGAGTATAACCACCGAGGAACTGTCCCTTGGTTCAGTCAAATCCAAGTCCATAGCACTAACGGGTAAGTTATTTTTGTCTCTGAAAGATCTGTGAATAAACTAAACAAGTATATCTAACATTGAAATATCCGAGCATGTTTCCATCTGTGTGAAGTCTGACTGGAGGAAACTCACAGTTAGTGTACCGATATTCCAGCAGGATTTATTCTATGTGACGTGGATGCAAGTTTAAATGTGACCGGTGACATTTTAAATAACAATATGTAACTCTTAGCATTATTCTTCCAAATGTACTGAGCTAGCTTTCTGCATAACTTTTAAATGAGTGAATTATTAGCATAAACTAAGTAAACAAGTTAAGCATTACACTTTGATGAATACTTTACTAATGGGCAATTAGATAAATGACTTTACTTACTGTCTAAGACACAGTTTATAATAATCTGAATATGTGCACTTGACATGTTACTGAGAATGTGCCCATTCTTGGTATTCTCATGAATTCAGTTTTACTTTTTTTTTTTTTTTTATTATCTTAGAGTCCCACTAAGTGTAAAGGTTAATCCAGACATGGACTCCTTGTTCACTTTGCATAGAGGGGTTCCAACTTGTGTAGCGTGGACTTATTGCATTCTGGTTCTGAATTACTCCTGTGAGTGTTTAGAAATATCTTATAATGCAAATAGTATAGCTTTCCTCTCTAATGGCACCAGTGAGATGAACCTTGTCTGAGTACCAAGCAGGGACTAACTGACGCTACTGAGTTTTTATCTGTTTGTAAGTTCAGTTTTGGTTGATTTATATTCTGATAAAGATGTAAAAGCTGCCTAATCATTTCATATTCTGTGTGTGCTACTTAGACCAAACACAAAGTTTTCTTTAACATAAATGTGAAAGTAATAAATATTGAAAAATGGCCAGAACATCAATGTCCTAGTGTCTATAGGAACAGAGTAGGGGGTAACCCTCAATAATTGCAGAACAGAGGAGAAAAGAAAAAGGAATCTGTTCCTAATGCCGATATCGGATATACACAAACGGTTAAAAATCTAGAAGATACTTTATTAATAAATGGAAAACATAAATCTGAAAAGACCCCAGCAATGGCTGCCTGACTCAACAAAAGTCAGTTACGGCAGCCAAGACAAAGAGCATACATAGAAATAAAAAAGATAAGTAAAAAGAAAAATGAAAATAGATCGATAAGGTAATAGAAAGAGTTTTAACAATGGATAAATGATAGTATCTATAGATCAGAAAATTGATACAATGCGTGGGAGCCCCCTAAGTAAAGCTGACAATTCATTCAGTGTAATGATTCTTACATATCAGAGATAAAATATAATACAAAATATCGATGCAATACAAGGGAATCTGTTACCATCAGTATGAACTGAAACTAAGTATATTGATCTCTGTGTGTCAACTAAAAGATACAATACAGGGGAACCCACTGGAAGGAGTTAAATACTCCCGTTTGGTATAATAGTCACTATGTATATAAAGACAAAAGAATCACTGTACAGAATCAATGCCGTTAAGGTACAGGAGATTCTCCCACTATAAACTCTCTCTAAAAATAAAAGTAGTGAATGCAGTAATAGTATTTCCAAAAGTTCTAATATAAGAACAAAATCGAATCTAATTACATATACATATAAATCACATCAGCATATCAAATTGGTGTTACGAGTGTAATGAGTAAATAGAGTTAATCAAAAAGGTGAAAAGGCAACAGTATCTAGAATATGCCCAGTAACCTTAATGAAATAACTAATTATCCATGATGAATTCTACACCAAATGAAGAAAGATCGGAATGGTGCCTTCGAGGGCACCAAGTATAGGATAGATGGTAAAGAAACAAGAGTCCTGATGCTGGTAAATAACCAAATAGACAGTAGAGAAATACTGCATTAATAGCTAATGATATCCTGATCGATCTAATCAGTATACACGGCTAGTATCCCAAACTATCATAGCCCCTCGGGATCCCAAGTAATAAATAAATCCAAAGATGTATGTCCGTGCTCATAGGAAGGAAGAGGGTTGCTGGGGACACACAAAATATCTAGCCTGATAATCGCAATAATGTCTAATCTACGCGCCCCAACGTGCGTTTTGCCTAACTTACAGGCTCATCAGGGGGATGTATTGTATCTTTTAGTTGACACACAGAGATCAATATACTTAGTTTCAGTTCATACTGATGGTAACAGATTCCCTTGTATTGCATCGACATTTTGTATTATATTTTATCTCTGATATGTAAGAATCATTACACTGAATGAATTGTCAGCTTTACTTAGGGGGCTCCCACGCATTGTATCAATTGTCTGATCTATAGATACTATCATTTATCCATTGTTAAAACTCTTTCTATTACCTTATCGATCTATTTTCATTTTTCTTTTTACTTATCTTTTTTATTTCTATGTATGCTCTTTGTCTTGGCTGCCGTAATTGACTTTTGTTGAGTCAGGCAGCCATTGCTGGGGTCTTTTCAGATTTATGTTTTCCATTTATTAATAAAGTATCTTCTAGATTTTTAACCGTTTGTGTATATCCGATATCGGCATTAGGAACAGATTCCTTTTTCTTTTCTCCTTTGTTCATAAATGTGAAAGTGTAATAGCCATTGTTACAATATTTATTCTGATTGTTTGACAGGTACTCTGAAAGTGCGAGTAAAGGGCTGTCACGGTATTCTGGAGAATGTACCTGGCAGACTAAAGGACCCGTCCGATGTTCTCCCTGGCAGGAGTCCGCGTCGAGGAAGATTCTTATTAATGAACCGAATCAGAAGAAACAACCGTGGCAGCAATCAGAAAATCCAAGAGAATTTTGACTTTTCTAGTACAGTGATTTTGATCTTATTAATCCCGTTATGTGTACAGTGACGCTCAATATCTGGGATATCGAACCTTTCCCTGCAACAATTGTTAAACTACATATCCCATTATTTACTGACAGTATTTATAATCATAGTCCAGTAACATTTGACTGGTCATGGTTAGACAATGTCTGTATAGGAAACTTGGATCCTTTAACTCTGTAATGTTCCTGTTTGGGGAGAATGCAGGCGAAATACAAATATTATCTAATAGGATTCTCCGTCATTCACAAAGACCCTGCCAATCAATCACAATACTGAAAGTGTTGTCAAGGAGATCAGTTTTACAAAACATATTTCCAGATATCACTCCACAATTGCCTTTTTCCACCAAATTATTTTACATATATGAAATGACTCTAAACTAAGTGAAGGAAACCTTTACCAAAGATTCTTCAAGCTGGGAATCCTATCTGTCAACTTTATATCCTCCTCTAAACAAGTTACAAGTTGCCTTTGAAACGTCCTCCTGGTCCATGGGGAGAATACTGGCTCACAATACCCCTTACATTATAGTTTTATCTAATCAATAGACGAGATCTTTACTACTTTACCCGTTGATGATTTCATTGTTTCTTTGGGATTGCGGCTTTACCATTCTGAGACTTGAACACAGCTCACAGCCTGACTTTCAGTTTTATCCTCTGGACTTTCCTGATTATTTGTTAATGCTGATAACATTTCTGACTCTTTGTTAATGCAATGTCTTGGGTTTGTCTTCTCATCCATTTAAATGCCTTTAAAATGTTATTATTATTACATGTATCTAACAATGACATTTTGATATATAACAGTACATTATTATGTATTCCTGTAGATTCAAAATAAATGCTAATAGTATTAAACAAATACAAAATTACACAAAACGTTACTGTATAGTAGATAACATGGAACAGTGTGACAATAAATAAATAAATAAATAAGATAGGCCTACCTCTCGCATCACCATGAAAAGCCTTGACATAATGTCATACCCAGGGGTGCATAACACAGGAGGGTCTATGTTGCAAACCTCCTAGGAAACTATAGCACTACAATATATGTGGAGTATAAACTGCAAGAAAGTCCCCTTAATCCAGTGTGCCAAAACAAGGCTGCAGGATGGTACCTCCTTAATCTAGTGTGCCAAAACAAGGCTGCAGGATGGTACATTCTTAATCCAGTGTGCCAAACCAAGGCTGCAGCATTGGACCACTTTAATCCAGTGTGCCAAAACAAGGCTGCAGCATGGTACCTCCTTAATCTAGTGTGCCAAAACAAGGCTGCAGGATGGTACCTCCTTAATCCAGTGTGCCAAAACAAGGCTGCAGCATTGGACCACCTTAATCCAGTGTGCCAAAACAAGGCTGCAGCATGGTACCTCCTTAATCCAGTGTGCCAAAACAAGGCTGCAGCATGGTACCTCCTTAATTCAGTGTGCCAAAACAAGGCTGCAGGATGGTACCTCCTTAATCCAGTGTGCCAAAACAAGGCTGCAGGATGGTACCTCCTTAATCCAGTGTGCCAAAACAAGGCTGCAGTGGGAAACCTCCTGGTCCCACATTGTTGACATGCTGTAGGTCTCCATGTGTTAGTGTAGTGAGACTATACAGAATCAGGGAAATCCATTAGATATCTCAGTCTTGAGTTTTACCAAAAAATGGCGCTGCTCCAAATTAAAAACCAAGTGGACAGTTTTAGTCAGCCAACAATCTGTACGGGTGTTGCAATGTATAGCAAAGTAGTTTTAAAAAGAAAAAGAAGCTTTTTACTGCTACTTTGCCGTACCATTATACATTGCAACACCTGTTCAGATCGTTTGATGGCCATTGTTCCATAACAAGACATTTTTAACATTAGTCTCTACAGCAGCTCTCAAACTAAATTTTAAGTTGGTAGACAGGCCTTATGCCCTACAATGGCCTTATTTATCGTAAACTCCCTTACCTGGTTCTAATGGGTTGGTTACACAAATTATTTATTGAAGGCACCTCTGTAAAACAATTCTTCCAAATCTGTGGACAATATGTATTTACACTAAACATCGCTATTCAAATGAAAATCAAAACCACAATATCGATCTATATCGTGTTCAAAAGTTGTAGCAGATCAACACCTAACTACTCTACCCACATATAAACTTGGACTCACTCATCGTACAAACTCCATTCTTTACATTATTTGTCAAACAAAAAAGACCGACAGCAGGAACATCATTTTCAACATGTTTTTAGTGAATTGGTTCTAGTGTTATTTTACATATATCTCTTTGCCTATTTTCAGACTGTATTACCTGGCTGACTATAAATTTGTCTAGTTTTTTGTTAATTTTTGCTTTTTACAGAATACAGGAGATTAGACTCCTTTGATGAAAGTAAACTCCTAGAGCTTTGTGTAAAGCTAATAGATGAACCTTTATTATTATTATTATTATTTTATTATTTATATAGCGCCAACAAATTCCGTAGCGCTGTACAATGGGTGGACTAACAGACACATAACTGAGATCAGACCACTGACGTACAGGAACAGAGGGGGTTGAGGGCCCTGCTCGATGAGCTTACATGCTAGAGGGAGTGGGGTATAGTGACACAAAGGGTTAAAGTAGGGGAATTAAATAGTTTGTTACAGAAGGGTTTATTGAGTGCTTGGTAGGTCATTTTTGACAGGTGAAGGAACGGAGTCATGGGGTGAGGGATGAGAAACCTGCTGACAGTTTAATTGATACGCTTTAATAAAGAAGTGAGTTTTCAAAGATTTTTTGAAGGAATGGAGGCTGGGTGAAAGTCTGATTGAGGAGGGAAGGGAGTTCCACAGAATAGGTGCAGCCCTGGAGAAGTCTTGAAGGCGAGCATCAGAGGTGGGGATCCAGGCAGAGGATAGGAGTAGGTCTTGGGCTGAGCGCAGGGGTCTCGTCGGGACATACTTGTGTATGAGGGAAGATAGGTATGTTGGAGCAGCATTATGTAGGGATTTGTAAGCAAGCGCCAGAATTTTGAATTGGGCCCTATATCTAACTGGAAGCCAATGCAGGGACTGACAGAGCGTGGAGGCGTGGGAGGTGCGACCGGACAGGAAAATAAGCCTCGCAGCCGTATTCATTATAGATTGCAGCGGTGCAAGCTGGGAACATGTAAGACCGGTGAGAAGGGGATTGCAATAGTCAAGGCGAGAGAGAACAACAGCATGAACCAGTACCTTAGCCGCGTCCGGCGTTAGATATGGGCGGATGCGCGCTATGTTCTTGAGTTGGAAGCGACAGGATTTGGCTATCGATTGAACATGGGGAGTAAAAGAGAGATCAGAATCAAAAAGAACTCCTAGGCAGCGAGCCTGGGAGGTAGAGGTGATAGTAGCGCCGTTGACTTGGATGGCGACAGACACAGGAGTAGCAGCACTTGAGGGAGGAAAAACTAGAAGTTCTGTTTTGGACAGGTTGAGTTTAAGGAAGTGAGCAGCCATCCAGTTGGAAATAACAGAGAGGCAGTTAGAAACACGAGTCAAGGTGGGCGGAGAGAGATCAGGGGAGGACAGGTAGATTTGCGTGTCATCTGCATATAAATGGTATATCGTCTGTGTATTGACCAAAGCCACGTAGAAATGTTCTTTAAATTAAAATACTCTCAGCCTTTTAAGTTGAGTTCCTGAAATTTCCTTACAGGTGAAGTCCGTACTCAGCTGAAGATCGATCATATTCCAGTGGGTTCAACAAGTTGGAAAACTGTTTCTAACCCATCCTGGAATAAGACATTTAAACTGGATTTAGATAAGGTACATACGGCATGCGTGTATTATTTTTTTTATTTTGTTTTAGTTTTAATCCATTTGTGGCCCCAGGTAGAATTAATCATTTATAAATCTTCAAACCCTGTAAATAGTTGTCTAACTCTTATTTCTAAACCTTTTAGGACCTTAATGTGTCAGACAGTTAAAATTTAGTTATTTAACATTGGGTTAGTTTATCTTTCTCTAGATATTGTTATAGGATTTTTTAAACAATCTGTGATATAGTGCATATTTTAGAAAATATTTGCCACCACATAGTTTAATTACTTATTTCCCCCAATACACAAGCTTGCCATGTGGATAGAAAATGTATAGGTGCAAACTGATTTTATGTTTACATACTCACCACGTCTGGGTCTGCTTAACCCCTTAAGGACACAGCTTCAGAAGCTTGACTTACGCTTAATGACACAAGCAATTTTTGCATTTTCTTGCTGTTTGCGTTCAACTGCAATTTGCATCTCTCTCATTTATTGCACCGACACATATTATATACTGTTTTTTAAAGGACAGAAAGGGCTTTAATTTGATATAACATATATATATATAAATGCTTACTTATTATAAAAAAATACAGAAAAATGCAAAAAAAATGAAAAACATTGTTTTTTTTTACAGTTTTTGCAATAATAATGTGTGCATAATTAGTGCAGGTTAAGAAAAGTAATTAAAAATAAATTTATTTATTTGTTCTGATTTACAGAATATATAATGTGTCTGGGATTTTAAGTTTTTTTTGGTAGTTACAGGTCACAAAGCACAAGGAGTAAAATAAACTTTTAATGTGGAGCGATTTTAGAATTTGGTATGTTTGTCTTGTAAGCTTAATAGCCATAAAAGAAAACAAAATTGCACACAAAAGTATATATTTATATAAAGTAGACATCACGGGCTATTTACCTAAGGTTGTTTTGACACTTTCTACGTAGCCATTTCACCGCCAACCTCTGCTAAATATTGGAGTAAAATTGTGTTCTTTTTGGTTTTTGGCACACAAACTTATAACAGAGAAATTCTCGTGTATATTTTGTAAAGTTGGTGTGTGCTATTCCTGTACAAAGTTTTATTTTGTGTTCAGTTACATCTGCTGAGTAAAATGACACCCCATTGTATGTCTTTTGCACTATTTCGTGAAGTTACAGTGCCATACAGGATACCTGTCCTTTTCAGTATTCACAGTAGAATTTTGAGAGATGGATTTAATGAGCCTTAGCTTCCATTTTGGGGTATTATAACAGTTTGGCTGTTCAAAAACCCCCACAAAGGCCTACCATTTGTAAAAGTAGACACTCCAGGGTATCTTATAAGGTGCATATTGTGCCTTAACATGCCCCCATTTTTTCACCAATATATGCCAAAGTATGTGGTAAAAAATAATTTTGTGCATTTTTTACATACGGATTGCATTTTTGCTGGGCGTTTTGTATATTTCATATGTGCCACTAAGTTCAAAACCCCCAAATTATGCTCAGCTAAGTCTTCTGAGTAAAATGACACCCCATATGAATGTCTTTGGCACTATTTCGTGAAGCTACAGTGCCATATAGGAGACCTGTCCTTTACAGTATTCACAGTAGAATTTTGAGAGATGGATTTAATGAGCCTTAGCTTCCATTTGGGGTATTATAACAGTTTGACTGTTCAAAAAAAACCCACAAAGGCCTACCATTTGTAAAAGTAGACACTCCAGGGTATCTTATAAGGTGCATATTGTGCCTTAACATGCCCCCATTTTTTCACCAATATATGCCAAAGTATGTGGTAAAAAATAATTTTGTGCATTTTTTACATACGGATTGCATTTTTGCTGGGCGTTTTGTATATTTCATATGTGCCACTAAGTTCAAACCCCCCAAATTATGCTCAGCTAAGTCTTCTGAGTAAAATGACACCCCATATGAATGTCTTTGGCACTATTTCGTGAAGCTACAGTGCCATATAGGAGACCAAGCCATATCCGTTTTTACCAAACTTTGAATTTTGACGCTGGGCCTATGTGCAATTTCCAAGCATCTTCGCAGGTTTTAAATTCAAACTACCCCACAAAGGCCTACCATTTCTTAAAGTAGACACCCCAGGGTGTTTCAAAAGGTATAGTTTGAACCTTAGCGTGGGATCATTTTTCCGCTAGCTTGTACCCAGGGGCGGACTGACAACTTATAGGGCCCTCGGTCAATAGTAGATCAAGGGCCCCCCTCCCGGTGCAAGGTCTTTGTGCAGCTCTCATACAAATATGTGCGCACTACCCAGCATGGCTGTCCCCCAAACAGGGCCAGATATACTTTAAAGGGTTAATCCAACCAAAAACAGTGTTTTAATAAAACATTGTTTTTGAGTGGAGTACCCCTTAATAGCTTGCCTTACGCTCCCCTCCCCCCCTCCCCCCATTAAAATAAAGACATAAAGCAAATTTAATTAGACCCTTTGTCTGTGTTTGTTGGTGACATCACAAGCAGCATCCCCCACATGTTCAACCATACAAGCAGCCTCCAAACACGTGTTTGGAGGCTACTTGTGTGGTTGCATGTGTGGGATGCTGCTTGTGTTCCTGAATGTCAACATGTTGAATTAGAATTAATTGTTTGACTTGTTTTACCTATTGTACTGCGCTGCAGAATATGTTGGTGCTATATAAGTAATTGTAATAATTGCGTTTGTATGTATAAGGAGGCTGTATGCAGTATTGCAATGCTGGGGATGCCTCTTGTGATGTGTGTGTGTATAAGGAGGCTGTATGCAGTATTGCAATGCTGGGGATGCCTCTTGTGATGTGTGTATGTATAA